GCCACGAACCAGTACCTAGTTCATTATCTCGATAAAATTACAGTTAACCTTTATCCAAAAAAAAAAGAAAAGAAAAAGGTACTCTTTTAATTTGAATTTTTTGTGTTATGTGTATACTTATTTTTAAAATCACCCCAGACTAGATCGCGAATCTCTAAAAATTTGGATCCAAAATCCATTTTTAAGATAGATCTTAGAGGGGCACATACATTATTAGCAGGAAGACTCATAGAAACCCATCCATATATGTATATTCTTTTTGTTTAAATAAATTTTGAACATGTTTTTACAAATTTTGTCCATATATTATTGCTTTTGTGACAAATGCCTTATCCATTGGGGCGAGCATAATAAGAATGGAAAGCGAGGAAGCAGGTGCGTCTACCTTTGTATCCAAAAGGCACGAAAGGAGCAAAACAAATTAAAAAGCGAAATCTTTTGTGGACGAATACCACCAATTTGTACCATATGTGTACTCACCGTCCCTTCTCTTGTGTGATGCTACGGTACGAGCACGCATTCATCTTTATCAAAAGCTGACATTCCTCTTCCACTTACTACCACTACCTTTTTTTCCTTCTTTGTTTACAAATGCATAAGCATACTGAGACTGTTTTTTTTTTTACCTTCCTTGTAGATGTGTACATATGCATGTTTATTTTCGATATCACCGCTCCCAAGCTGGTCATGCTGGTCCGGATAATTTGGGATTAGGCTTAGATGATGATGGACATAAATTTTTTTGCAAAAAAATAAGTATGATATAAGGGCAAGTTTAGATTTAAGGGTGGCCATGGTAAGCCGGCCCTTGCTCTGGTCCCTATAGGGCTTGCCTGAGCATGGCCCCGCCTAGACCTCGACGATGAGTCTCAGGCCTAGGCCCAAATGTTCTCAAATTGGGTAGGCCAAATATAGTCAAACAAAAACAAGAAAAACATATTAAGGAAATAATTGTCGAGATGCGGCCAGCTTGTCATGGCCCTAGTTCAACTTGGGGCCTCGAGTAATAGTGGCCTAGCCTTAGCCTGGTTGGGCCATATTATGCGGTTTAGGCCTTAGTTTTTCTGGGCATCTACTGGGCTGCCTGGCCAATTGCCACCCCACGCTTAGTGTATTATGAAATTATGACTACCAATAAATGCCACTAACGTACATTATCACTTAGCGGTGGTTAAAAGGGTTTAGGGGCGTACATAGGTCTTTCTCAAACAAGTGGAGTTCAAAAATTGGTGGAGGATAAATATGTTGCGAAGAAGTTCCTTCAATAGTTTGGTCCAAATCCTTACTGACTTACCATTTTGAAGAATAGGGTTGGGGTCATGGCCGTAGGACCACTTGTACCCCAGCTAAGGTCGAAGCTTTCATTATCACCTAACGCATTAAAAACTACTAATAATTTAAAAAAACATAGAGAGGCTCGTCATCTCTACTTAATTACCAAAAAAAAAAAAACTCAACTTAAAAATGTGCTAAGTGGTCAAACCAAACGAGGACAATGCGGGAAATATGTGGCAAGGTGATCCATATCTTCACCATTCATTTAATGGTGGAACGGTGATGGAAAAGGTTGGATCCATTGAAACGTAGCATAATTCTAAATGGCGAGCTACTGTTCATAATTGTTAAACCATCAAATGAACGACAATATTTGCAGTCGTTTAAGTCTCAAAATGCATATAATCTTGAATTATTTTTAATTATTTATGAGTTCCCTTGTCATACCCTCTTAAAATAAAGCAGCTATTTTACATGTTAAACTCTGGGACATTTACATGTGAAATTCTGGATTTTACGTAATAAACATAAGCATGGCTAATTTTATCAAACATTTTCATTTTACGACAAAATTAAAAAAAACCCAAAGTGGCTTCTTTATCTGAAAGAAATCTAACTTCGCTATCTCAACGAGATTGAAATCCGGGAGTAAATATTCTCTTTATTCACCAAGATTTTTGTAGATATTTACTTCATAAGGTGCTTCCAAAATGTGGCTTTTTCTTTCTTATCTCCTTCACTCATTTTACTTGTACATTTTTCCTCGTAATTTTGTATCGGATGAGAATCTCACTTGGGAAAAAAAGGTGGTCGTATTGGATAAACTCCATACTCATCTTCCAGCACATCAGATGCTCACGAGATGGATACATTCTAAAAAGGAATTCCAACAAAAAAAATAAAAATAAAAAATATATAAATAAATAAATAAATAAATAAATAAATATATATATGTGTGTGTGTGTGTGTGGAGGAGACTCTGCAACGGTTATGGGTGAAATGAACAGTATTTTCGCCTATAGGCTCGACGTCGTTCGATTTTTTGAACGGCGTGGATTAAAAGACCGTCATGGACATAGCATATCCTTTATGGGGCGAAACACTATACAAATGCATCCATAAGCGCTTTTAAGACTTTTATATATATATATAAAGATATTTTAAACTTCACAACCCTTCAAATTACAAAGGTATAGAGAGAGTTGTGAAGGTGGATTTATTAATTTTGTATTCTATTTTTAAAAAAAAATTACTTTTGTGGGGCAATTTTGTAAATATTATTATAAGACAAATGGTACTTTTGTTATCTCTATAAGGGGTAAAATTGAAAATTTAACTAAAAGACAATGACACTCTACAAATGAAGTTTCATGATACCAACTTTCAAAATGCCAATCTACTTTTGTGAAAAATTCAAATTTGTTATTGCTTAATGGTAATGTTACATATTTAAATAAATTTTTAATAAAAAGTAATGATTGTTTTGATAAATAGACCAATCACAACCCTTTATAACTTGAACCTTTGTAAATTGAGGGGTTGTTAACTCTAGACAAACCCATATATATATATATATATATATATATATATACAAAAAAAACCATGTTTATTGAAATTTTGAAACAAATATTTTGGTTCTTAGTAGTAAAAGGAAGGGGAAATTTGACGTTCTAAGCAACTCTTGTGAATACTCACACTCCAAAAACGAGTCGATCTCGTACCTTTTCGATTAAGGGTGCCGTTTGTATGAGGCCGAGGTTCTAAATAATCAAAGTAAAATGCATTATTTGAGCATACCTTCAAATAGTGTAAAAAAATGTTGTTTCAATACTGAAAGTCTTTATGATAGCCTTAAAATATATTTTTATTTATAAGTATAAAAGTTGAAGCTTAATAAATAGTGTAGATCTAGCAGATCTATAAAAACTTTAAAATTGACCGTCAAAAAATGTATTACAAGATACTCTATTTCCAGAACTTAAAATCCATTTTTTCTCATGTCCATGCATCTTGAGATCGAGATTATCAATTTGATGATTTTTGGATATCGAAACAGTCTCTTTGAAAACTTCGAGGAGTACCCTAATTTGATTGTTTAGACTCTCACACTTATATAAACTTTTTCTTTCCAATTAAATGTGAAGAGAAACCATAAAAGAAACAAAAAATAAAAAAGTTTATATAAGGGCAAGGCCCTAAACAATTAAATGAAGGTGCTCCTCAAAAATCCCTTTGAAAAGGTTATTTCAATACACCAAATCTGCAAATCGATTATTTCGACCTTAAGATGCATCGAAATGGTAAAAAAAATTGGACTTCAAATCTTGAAAATAGTATTTCTTATAAGGTATTTTTAGACCGTCAATTTTTAAGATTTTTAAGTGTTCATAGATCTCCTCAATTTATACTATTTTTTAAGCATTAAAATTTATAACTGAATATAACAAATAAAGTTTAAAGCGATCACAAAGATTTTTAATACCAAAAAAGCATATTTCAACAGTATTTCATGGTGTACCGTACTTCGATTGTTTGGAGCCTCAGCCTTACACAAACCACACAAAAAAAAATAGAAAGCATAGCGTACGGAGGATATTCTCCACCTTAAAAATAAGCCAAAATTTTATGGAACTTTAAAAAATAGAGAAAATTCGAGATACCTCCAAAAACGCCCATCTTAGTCATACCCGGAATCGTGTCTTTGCACGTGTGTATCGGCGAATATTTTTGTAAGTTCGCTGTCCATGAAAAAATCGAGAACGGATGGGAATTCCAATTACATCAAATTAAAATATTATTCCTTCTCTTCGCTTTAGTTTAGCGAGCTTATAAATACAGCACCTCACCTCCCTTCTCTTTCAAACCATCAAATCAAACCCTCCTGCAACCTCCACTTTCATATATCCCACACACTCTTCTGCCTTAACACAATTATTTTTTTTCGTCTGAATCATCAACTCACCTTTTTGCAGAGCCTAACTGGAAGATTTTAGCTAAAATGTACATATTTTAGCAAGAGTTTTCACCTGAGTTTCTCTTTGTTGGATAGTTTGGCCTTAGAAAGCAGCAAAAATTTAAGTTTTTTTACTGAATTTTGCTATCTTTCGTTTTAGAGTTTGAGATACTTGGGGACTAAATCATCTGGAGTAGCTGCACTATTTTCAACTCAAGTCTCTGGTTAAGCTGCTTCCACTTCGCTTACTGCCGAGTGATTCGATCGAATCTCACTCTTTTCCTTTCATATCTTTTTGGGTACAGGCCTTCATCTGTGTAATTCTCATATTTAACGGTGCAGGAATTTCTCGATCGTTAGTTTTTCAGACCTAGCTGAATATTGTAACAAGCTTGCTGAATCTCTCCTTCTGACCCTGTTTTCGAGCATTGTCCCCTTTCCCACTACCTGTTCAAATTTCTAATCAATACTAGTCATTCGGAAACCATAACTACCAAGTTTTGTTTGGATTTGACTCTGAAGGCACACATTTTTCTGGACTTTGATCAAATTTGTCTTCAGAACCTATACATTTTGCCTTGTTTCTCTTCTAATTTGTCTAAAAGTTCTGCATTATAGTCTTCCTCTTTCATTCAAGGGAGAGAACAAACAGGGGAGCTCAACCACAACTGCTCTTTTTTTAGTGAGGTGAAAGCAAGGAACAGACAAATACTCTCTTTCATTAAGAAATAAGAAGAAGGAAGCAGGTGGGTCACTTTCTATTTTGTGAGAGATGGACAAGGTGAAGAGGATGGCATCACAAAATGCAGTGGTGGTGTTTAGCAAGAGCACATGCCCCATGAGCCATGCCATCCAGACCTTCTTCCATGATCTCGGTGTCCATGCCACTGTGTACGAGGTCGATGAGCTTCCCAATGGGAGAGAGATAGAGAGGGCGTTGGCCAATTTGGTAGGCCGGGGCCCTCCAATCCCCGCCACTTTTATCGGGGGCCATTTCGTGGGCCCCACTGATAAGGTTATGTCTGTTCACCTCAGTGGCAAGCTTGTGCCCATGCTCAGAAAGGCAGGGGCCCTTTGGGTTTAGAAGATTTGCTCTGATACCATTGTGAAGTGGTTTAGCAGCTTTAGCTATGAATGTAGAATAAGAAAGATGGTCTTGGTCTAGCTCTCGTACGTCTTCTCTATGTTTTTGGTTTTGAGGTTTACGTATATTTGGGCTCTTTTTGTTTATAAGAGCAAACTTATGGGCATGATATAAGAGAATGTAATATTTCATGAAGTATTCAATAGATATAAGCTTTTCCTTTTAGTTTGATTTGTGCTTTCAACTAAGGGTGACGTTTGTATAAGGTGTCTACCTTGTACTATTGAAGTACGGTGCATCTCAAAACTATGCCGAAAATACAGTTTCGGTACTGCATGATATGAAAATATATTGTTGCCCCCAACTATGAAATTTAAAGTTTCATAAATGGTGACGATCAAGCATATCTATGAACACCTGAAAAACTTGAAAATGGACGGTCCAAATAATGTGTTAAAAGATGAACTATTTTTAGGACTAGAAATCCCTTTTTTTTTTTTTCTAGAAGTCTTGAGGTCGAGATGATTGATTTCAGGGTTTTCTACCATAGGAGCAACCTTCTCTAATCGGTTTCTTAGGTGCAACTTACTCCTACAATATAAGGTTGACAACTTATATAAACTTTTTCCGTCAACTAACGCAATGGAATGGTATACTTTAGGGTATTTGTTTGCCCTAAAAAACACGAATTGTTGGCATGAGAGCGGCCACATTGAAATAGAGAGAGAGAGAGGGAGAGATTTTCACAAGACTCTTTAAGATTCTAGTTTGTTGATTATGTATGTAGAAATTTAGGTAGTGCAATAAGTTTTTTAAAGGGTGCGGTTTTACTAAGTTGCAACCTTAAACAATCCAATTAAGGTGTACCTCCAAATTTTATTATAACATGTAATTTTGGTGTAAAAAAATCTTAGGATTATTTAATAATGTATTTTCATATCTAATTATAAAAA